TTTGATTTCGTAGAAGAACAAGTTTAGAAAGAGAAACTGACAACATTTCAACTTTTTGGCAAGTAAGCAGCTTTTTTTCTAAAAATCTGTATAAATTATTTTGTGGCTTAGTGTTACAAGCAGGTTGTTGTCAGTTTCTTTTTATCTGTAGTGTGGCTTGCTTTATTCTGGGGTTTACCCGCCACGGCTGCATTTCATTCGGTGTTTTGTCACTGTTCAGTCTATTCAGTCTACAATGATTTCTCAACTGGAGAAGGCAGTCACACAACCTTCAGTACGTGCGTTACGCACATGGACATATACAAGCTGTGTGAAAGTGTATCGCTGTGTTTCGTACTGCAAGTCCCGTTCGGGAAAAACACCCGGTGTTTCTTCTCACCAATTCCCAATAAATACTGAGCTTTGCGCCAGGTGACAAAAGAATATTGCGAGAGACAACCTCATCATCAACGACAAGTCTGCAACGACTGTCGTATGCAGCAGACACTTGCGTGATGAAGACTATGTGCCTGTGTTCCACATTAGAAAGCTTATTCTCGACTCCGCGCCTAGTCATTTCGAGGACTATCCTTCCTCCTTGATCCCAAGTGCAAAGAATCCTCGCAAAGATGATGCTTCACGAGCTTCACCCCTACGTCAAACATCAAGGAAGCTAAAAGCGGAGGCCAATGAAACAGATCTGGAAGTTGCGACTTCACAAGACACTTTCACTGAACAAGAAGCAGTAAGTGTTTGCATGCAAACAATGCAAAGCGACGCTCATCGCACGGGTCAATACCAGACTATGATAGGACGATAGCGCTCCCAAGTGTCGCACCATCGTTCAAAAGGCAAGAAGGTGCAGCAATTGCTGAAAGAAGAGAAAAAGTCATCCCAGTATTATCGCGAAAGCAAGCACCATGCATGTGTTAAAAAAATTGCAACAGATGCACAGAAAAGAGGAAAAATACCGTGTTTTTTTTTGCATGAAATGTAATTTTATGGAAGAAAGCATTCAGCGTACTCAAACAAAGTTGTTAGGGAGTGTGTGATATGGCGCTTTATGTCCCAAAGAGGCTACAATCATGCTCCACTTCGGGGCTTGTGACACTGCAAGTGAAGTGCACTCTCGAGAGGTATATAGGCCCAAGCCCAGCATTATCGGGTATGAGCAATGCCATAACAATTTGTGCATCTTTAATGATTAGGCAACTTGTTTTTCAATGCGCGGTGAGTGGAGAAGCACGCCCGAACTCGTGTGCCGGCGTTGCACGCGGCGCTACAAGCGGTGGAGGAAGGTCAGGGTCGCAGCGCCCTCCTCGAAGCAGCGGCAAGAGGCATGTACTACACCAGATGTGAAGTCCGTAAGAAGCGAGTGCAGTATATCCTAGTCGTGTGAGGGGATTGCTCTCTGTGTTGTCTGCTAGCCGCCTAAGGCTAGCATGTGCGTGTATGCCATGTTCATTCTCAAGGGGTGGTTCGTCCCGCTCTGTTAGTGCTAGTTTAACTGCTTGTACATTTGCCTAGCACTATCTTCAGAAGCATTTGGCCTTGCTCGGCTTTAAGTGCACAGAAATAACATCAGCTTGTGCATTTGCCGAGAGTGCTGTGTATCGTTGTACCCTCTGTTAGCTGAAATATTTTGGTGTAGGTGCCACTTTGTAGCTAAAGCGCATCATAAAGTGCCCTTGCCGCCGTCGCAAACATGAGGAATATTCAATATTGTGTGAATGCTGCGTTTTAGCGACTCAATGATATGCACAATTTTGATACGAAATTTTGCTTGTTTGGGGTCTAGCTGCAACGCTGTTGCTTATCGGTTACACGATGAGCTTTCTGTTTTTGATATCCTTTTATGGTACGGACCTGGTAACACTACAGTGAAATATTTCTATCAAGTAAATTCTGATACTTTCGCACTTACAGTGCCCCTTAAAAAGAACAGAAAATAGAATGACATGAAGGTGATCAAACTTGAGTCACCGTGCACAATTTGAACATTGGGCGAAGTTATAGAGACATCTGCACACCCATCTGCTTAGGTTTCATATCACTTTAAGAGGAGATGTGGGTGGAAAAACGCGAGTTTTATCAAAATTACCGATATTTATTTTTGCCTATTTTGATAAGATTAGTACCTCTACTGTTATGAAAAAAAAAAAAAAAAAAAAAACAGGTCGAGACTTAACTGGAAATGCTTTAAAATTGCATCTAAAGACCACAAGGTGCCAGGTAAAAGGTTCAAAGTGTGCTGTCTTCGAGCACCTTGCCGCCGATAATGTACCGCCGCTCGCCATTGTTGATCGCATGAGCCAAAGAGTCGAGCCTCACTCTTCAAATAACAACAGTTTCCCTCACTGATGCAGCACAAGAAATAATAAAAAGAAGCATGCTTCTGCACGTTTTTCGAGCACCGTAACTGGCTTATCACGTGATACGGATCGGGGACTGCCATTGGCCGCTGCGCGCCTGTATGTGCTGTGAAGCCTATTTGTGGGGTCTATGTCTTGTCGAGCAATGCAGCTGAACAATGCTTTTCTCGTGTAATTATCTCCGTTATGAATGAAAAAAAGCCATTGCTCGCAAGGGAAAGCCGTTGTGCGACGCGCTGTGTAGAAATAGGCTACGAGCAGCTAGTCCGATTTGCGGCAGTTGTTGGCTTGCAAATGCCAATGCATCAAAAGTCATTCACACCCGTCAGCCGGAAAGTTCGTGATGGATGCAGCAATGAATGATGTCAGCGCCAATCTTGCGAGGTCGAAAGAGCTCGCAGTGAGGGAACTTAGCGGGGACGACATTGACATTATGTACGATAGTATTTGGCAGCACATGGCTGCAAAATGGCATGACACTGGACTAGGTGAGATTTCGCAGTCCTGTCGAACTTATTCCTAGCTTGCAGTTGGCACAAGGCTCTGCCAGATGGAGCAAAAGTTTGGCAAGCGTTTCATGGCCCTGTCTTTGAGCGAAATGTCTGTGAGGAGTCAGCTCGAAACAGCCGAGAGGGACAAACTCATGGTGCTGGTTTATTTTAGTGGCAGTGGCCACTACAAGAAGGATTGTTCTTTTTGATGGGTGAATTTCATCAGATATAATGATATCTTTCATAAATAAAAACTGAATTTTTACTTTAAAACTCGTTTTTCTCAAAACACAAGTTTTGCCATTATTTTTCAATGTGCCCCTCCTTTTTCGGGCACTTCTTATGCTCAGATCTGCATGAAATTTCACCCAAATTTTTTAAAAGTATGACAACTGCAATTATCTAGTTTAAATTTCAATATTTTATTGTATAATAAAACAATTGTATGTAAACCTTTACTAGGGTAGGTGATACATGGACTTTTTACGTCTATTATTTTTCACGTCTATTACATATTTTGTATGTGCTTTTTAATTAGTTATTTGCATTCTACACTTTATTTGAAACATTATGAACTATGAATGGCAAAAAATTACGGTAGTTTAGGGATGAAAAGGGGGGGGGGGGGCAAAAGAGTTAAGGTTTTCACTTTGTCATGTTGCAGAACTAAAAGTATGCCACTTGCAAAAAAACTAATTATATATTTGAAATCAGCATAAAAAGTCCCATGAACAGCTGAAGTTGGATTGCTCTAGGGTGAATATTAAAAGAAAAGTGTCTTCGAGTAGCATTTCCCCTTAAAGAATCAAGATAATCTAAATTAATCCAGACGGAGTGCCTCTCAGTTACGTTGTATTACTTTATGTAAAACGTCATCCTTTTTTTTTCCACATTATCGTGAGCACTTTAGTGGCATTGGTATAGACTAATGGACGGAGCGAACATTATTCACTTGAAAAAAATATACTTTTGTCTAATCGAGTAATCGAACCATTGTTGCATCACTGTCATGCAGATAATCAATTGAAGAAAGCTGTGTGCTGAACAATCAATTGAAGAAAGCTCTGTGCTGAACTGTTACCTTTTTATACTGTTATTGGAGTAATAACAGGAGTGCTAAAGCCCTGTCAACTACATAGCTTTTCTGAATAAGCTGATGGACTGTCCCACGTTCATTTCAATAAGAACTGAAGATGAAAAAAATGTGAATGCGTGTTCGCAGTCATTTTAGCTCATCGCCCAAGAATATGAGATATTTTTCTATTTCTCTAGTATCCAGAAGTAGCATGCATGAAGCAAATAATGAATTAAGGAGCACTAAAGCAGTGTGTAGTATGCGGTGCACAAAGTGCCTGAAAATAAAAAAAAATAACAAGAAACGTGACAAAGTGCGAAGATGCAGGTAGTTGCCAAGCGCAAACATTCTTTTCATTGGCAGGTTGCGTTTTTCTCACAAGTAATAGTAAGTTTAAGTCAGCTTTGCGCATCCATTCGACAATTAATAACATATATATTGCAAGTAATGTATTTTATTAGCCAACAATCAGCTCACATCACTCACAAAGAAGCGCTGCTGCGTACATTTGTATGCACGCCGTCGGCCACCTATCCACACTAGCGCGGTGATGGTACTGCCACCTGTAGCCCGATCTCTAGGCGAATAGGGTTATGTGTCATATATCCAGTATGGGTATGTTTGCAAGTCATTGTTATTTTTATATACTTGTCATCATGGTTTTTCTGGTTTACATGAATATTGAGAATTGACTTATTTTGAGGCCCATTGGTTCTCAAAGCCGCATGCAATAGGTGACGCAATTGATTATTGGGATTTGGAGGAATTGTGACATCTAACCCAGGTGAAAATTCATAACTGACAATCCAACTGGTTTCAACTGGTCCTAGTTGAACTCGTTTAAGGAACACATTTTCATTTGGGAATGCATTCCCACGCAGTTGGCAACTGAGAACAGTTGTCAATTCCCAGTTGGCTACTGGGACTAGTTGGGAATGAAATAAAATATTCCCAGTTGGAGGGGGGACAGGCCCCATTCACCGTTGGTGCCCAAATATACATGCACTTCAGCTAGCTCAAGTAATCTTGAAAGTGCAAATAATTATCATTCAGAGAACATCAAACACACCAAAGGATTCAATGTCAAGTGTAGAAGATTATTATGATTTATTAGTATTACAAAAAAAATTGTACACCACGCCCAATAGGCAATAGCTGCTGTATAGCTGACTTGAATCAATACTGTGGTTGCACATACAGTGCAAAGCTTACTCTACTCGGCTTTCATGTCCTGAAGGTTTGGGCTGCAGCTGATGCATCTGTGCCATTCACCCATGACCAATGGTAGAGAGTTGCTATAAAATATATGGTAATATGTTACATGCATGTCCTGGAAAGCCATATTAATTTAATAAATATGCACAGCAGACCAGCCATCTAAATATTTCCACTAATGCACACTGTCTGTAGAGTACATGCCCAAGATAATCTGATTTCGTTAAAATTGCTTACCTCAGCAAGAGAAACAAAATAAAAAAACTATGGGCAGTAAGGCAAAAACATCTGTATTTTCGCTCGAATTCATAGACCTATACATGCAACAGGTTTGGGAATATTCACTTGCAGGGCAAATATGCCTGTTATTTACGTGCTTTGCTTGTTGCCGACAGAGCTACATATACTTCAGTTATTTAGCATGTCGTTCAATATACAAGTATTGCACAGAACTCGTTTTCTGCGATACTCCAAGACAGCAAATTTGCAAGCACTTCATACAAGTCCATACACAAACATATTAAAGAACAATGCCGAAGGCATTTGTTTACAATGAAACGTTTTATTGTCTGAGCACTAAGTATTCTGCGCTATAGCTGCATTAAATCTACATCTTTTCTAAGACACTAGGCAATCAGCACTCGGAACATATAAGTGATATAATTACCTTCAAACGACTGCATAGTGGACAATGGGAAGGCAGGCAGCACAGCATTCTGTACATATCGAATCCACATAGTATCTTTCTTGTCACAGGCGAAAACAAGTCTTGTCTGGCGTTCACTTGAAGTTAAAGTCTTCCAGAAATGAAACTGTCAAACACTAATTTGACAAAATCTAATTTATGCATGCCATGACTCCGCATTCATTTTCAAAAACAGCACACCTCAGCAGGGCGTCAACTGCTTTGTAGCTAGCCCTTGCCACATGTGCGGTAGTAGTGTTTCTTGAAGAAAGGAAGAAGGCACCTTACTTCTGTCGGCCATAAGGCGACACGGCTGAAACTAACACCGCGCTGTGCTCTGAAATTCTTTTTGTTCATTATCCAATTTCTTTCGTGCATTAAATTTTGCAGAATTAGAACAAAATGATTCATTTCAGTTTATTTTATGTGTAATAATTTTGAGTACTTTACTGCTTCAGCATTCAATGTTTGAGCGTATTAGATACAGAACTAATGTGACGTCTGTCGTGGTAGAGAGTGTGTGCTTGTGGGGACCGTGTTTCTGTCGGAAGTGTCAGCTTGGTGTCAGCTGGCATGGAAGTATTCACAATGATCCACTCAACACTATCAAGCAGGCATGCTCCCAATGAAGTAACGACAATATTAACACCCTGAGATCAATCAGGTCGTGACGGATGTAAAAGATTAACGACAGCTATTTAATATTAGTTGAATGTACTGAACGTAGTTGAATGTTTGAGTGCATTGTGTATAGCACACTTGCGCAACGGAATAATCCACAATAATAAATACACATCAGGTCAGGTGAGACTGTTTATGTGATTATAAATAAACAAAGGGTATGATGTTTAAACAAGAAAAGATAGCTTCTTTCAGTTCAACTGCCCATCCTGTTAGTGGCCAGTTGAGTTGTAACTTGGACCAACTATTAACTGGAACCTGCTGCAACTGGAATCATCTGGGACCAGTTAGTTTCCAAGTGGTACCAGTTGCAACTGGAATCAAATGGAGTCAGTTAGTTCCCAACTGGGACCAGCTGATACCAGTCAATAACGGTTGAAACCAGTTGTATTCCTAGTCAAACATTTTCACCTGGGAAGCCAATGACATTTTTGGAATTTTGTCTCTGTTTATTATCACCTTGGTATGTAATAAACAATATAAAGTACCAACAAAAGACATTGAAAACTATGTCCTATGAATACACCCCCTCTTTTTTTATGCAGCAACAGTGTAACCTCGGTGAAACAGTGGCTGCGTTGTTCGGCTGTTGACCCAAGGGTTGTGGGTTTGATCCCAGCCGTGGTGGTTGCATGGTAGAGGCCTGTGTACTGTGCGATGTCAGGGCGTGTAAAAAAACACTAGATGGCGAAAATTCAGAGGGCCCTCCACTACGACGTCTCTCATAATCATATTGTAGTTTTGGGACATAAAACCACAGATCATAGCTACGCCAGTTGTGCCATCTTGATACAGTCAATTTTGTGTCATGCTGAGCCAAAATCGTGAAATTTGTTCCTGTACTAACATTCTTGACCAGCCTCAAAATATGGTCAGCTATGCTTATTTTAGCAAGAAATGTAGGCTGCGATGATCACCTGCAGTTTGAGCATCTTCTAATCCAGACGTGAACACCATAACACCACAGAAAAATAAAAGAAAATAGGATAGAAGTTCTAAATTTTCCTGGGCTTGTTTTATTGTGTGCAGAATGCAGTGATGGAAGTGCTGTTCCGATTGCTCCAAACTGCTCTAAAAAGGAATTTTGCTTCATGCTGCTCCAAAGCGCAATATTTGCTTGTAACTGCTTCAAACCTGCTCCGAAACGGTGTTGGCAAACTTAAGAACACTATGTGGCCAACCAGTGGGCCTAAACGAAACCAAAAGCAAGCTGTATACACTATCATTCTAGTATGCTACTCAGTGGCATAAATCCAGAAAAATCACAAGGAGTGACAAAAATCAGGCCATGTTGGCTATTTGTTTAATATGGGTTGTATCTTTATTTACAGCAGAATTAAATCATGCTTTGAAATAAAAAATTTTAAAAACGAGCATTGGGTCCAAGCTCAAGAAATTGCATTCTTTCATTCAATCTTTTTAGCCTTTTTGTGATGTTCATAATTCACTCAGCTGAGGGATATTTAACACGGGTATGCAGTAAGAAATAAACAGCCTTTTAAAAGTTCATTACGTTATACTTAACTGTTGACTCAATTACATCATTAGCTAAAGCTAAATCTCAAGGGGGACACTTGCAAGTGGTGTCCTCCCTAGCCTGAACACAAGGGAAGTCCAGACCCTTCTGACCCCCCCCCCCCCCCATGATTTAAGCCACTGATGCTACTATACTGCTTCTATACTAGCTGCATACTAACATGTAGCATGTTTAGTAGTAAATATAAATACTTATGAGATGCTTAAATGATGCTTTAGACATCAGGATTCGTTAGGAGCATGCATCTGCTGTGAAAACACCAATAGCTGCCCTAAATAGCTTTTTTTTTCCTGCTCCGAAAACTCATAAGGCTGCTCCAAAGCACTATTTTTTCTGCTTCATAATCTGTTCTAAAAAGCAAAATCATGCTTCAATCACTGAGAATGCTTTTTTTTTTAAGGTACTTTCAGTGCACTACACTACACTGATGGCTTGCAGAAAAGCATTTTTGGATTCAGAGCTGTGCATGGCATTTTTGTGGCACTAAGAAACAATAAGTTAAAACATGCACCCCTTTTCTTTGTTTTCCACGAGCACTTACTCACTCCTGCTTCATGAAAGATTCAGGTTGGTTGAAGTGGCCAAGTTGCAGGTCCACATTAGAATTTTCAGCACGTGTCAAATGATTTGACAGGTGCTGCGAATTTCAATGTAGACTTGATCATTGTTTTCACTGTAGGTTGGTTCAAAACACTGTTTTTATTGAAATGGCAATGCTCATGTGCACTGTGTATCAGTTAGTGATATTATTTTATTTGTGCATATTTTAAATGCAAAGCATTTCTTAGTGAACCAAAAGTACTTTAAACAATTTTATCTATCTATCTATCTAGCTGCCTACGTCTGGTTGCTCGCTTGATCGCCTCCTTACATTGGTTTAGACAAATATTAGTATGGGAGGGTTTCAACAAATACGACAGCCTGTTCATGACAATAATAATGTGAAAATCTTGCTGTGTACGTCATCAAACTCTTCCAAACACATACGCCATACTATCCTATACAAGGGGCTGCAATATGTGGGTATGTGCCTAGGAGATTAATTATTCCACTAATGGTGAGAGCAGTCATTGGTAAGTTAATTGCGAATAATGCAAATGGCAAATTTAAAGGATAAAGTTAGAATCCCAGAAGGAATCCAACTGAAGTATTCTGTGTGGCAGTAAGGTAATTGTCTGCCACAGAGCCATGCCAGGTCTTGAAACTGCCTTTGAAAAAGGCCCCCAGCTGGCGTAATGTTGGTGCAACATTAGTCTAGGTTTCAGTGCTGGCTACCTAGTTTTATAATAAATCAATATACATTACATATGTGCTACTATGTCCTAGGCATCATTTTGAGTTAGCATCAAATGTGGTTCCAGTGTTGGCTTTGATTTTATAACAGTCTACTAAACATTACATCAGTATTCCTGCCATTCAGCTAGCTATATTGAAGTGTCGTTCAATTGCAAAGAAATGGAGAATGGCAGCTGTGACAGGCTGGTTGTGGTTTACCCAACTGTGTTATGTTTAGGGAGTGGTAGTCGATAATAACATTATCTGGGGTTTTACATCCCAAAACACTATATGAATATGAGAGATGCCGCAGTAGAGGTGTGCGGATATTTTGAATATCTGGTGTTCTTTAAAATTCACCGACATCTTACTGTACATGGGCCTCTGTCTTTTCATCACCATCGAAATGTGACCACCGCGGCTGGGATCTAATTTGCAACCTTCGCGTCAACAGCCGAGCATAATAATCAGAAGGGTGGTTTAATCTTGCTTGTTGGTATTCCATTATTTGTTGCAAGAGCATACAGAAGGAACAAATAAAACAGTATGACAATACTTAAGGACGACAGGTCTTATAAGATTAAAATGGATGTGGAAAATGTTCGAAGGTTTCTGTGACAATGTACATCAACAAAGACTTGAGATAAGAAGTAGCATCGCATTTTCCACAAATCATTTTCAAGTGCATTACAACTTGTACTTTCTTCCTTTGCCAAGTGCGAAGAATAATATAACAGAGATATCATCCAAATTGTTCATTTTTGCACATGTATTTGTTAGTTAAGTATGTAAATAATACCTGCATAGCGTGCCGGGGAGGAAGGGTTTGTATGGGCGAATTCGTATGTTACTTTTGAGAAGTTTTTTTTTTTTTCGTTACCTGCTCTTGTGGGTAATTCGCCTTCTATCTTGATATAGTATTTGGCGTGCAATAGCTACACTAATTGCATTAATTTGATACGATTCCCCAGTTTTGCTCAAACAGCCTCAAATTATTTTTAGTTGCGCTAATTTCAGCAAGAAATAAAGGCCACGTTGGTCACCTGCAGTTTGTGTCATCAATCAATCTAAGTGCACAAACCCTAACCCGAAACCACGGTGTAAGATATACTTACAATAGATAAGGGCGCTCACAAGACACGATCGACCAGATAAAGTAACAACACCACACGCCCATTGGTCTGCTGACCGCTGGTGTGGGATGGAACAACTTAGACAAAAATGCATTTCTGTAGCCACCAACGCTTTGCAGGAAATATGAATTTCCTAGTCCGGCAAATGCAGTTATTACATGCTAGCAACTAAAGCTGGAAGCATATGTCGTGTCTTCCGTCCAGAAACACCCTTCACTTGCAGCAAACGCCGCCGTTGCCAGCGACAACGTTGGTACCAGAGATAGATATCCGGTGACATTGCCGGGCCAATGGTCGTGCCGTTGTAACTTGACCTGGTCGAACGCGCCTTGCAAGCGAGTTGAGTAGTTATGCCCTAAACCTAACCCCATTGTGGAAAAAAAAAAAGATGCGGGGGTGTTAAAAAATTTATTGGCCGTGTTCCGATGTGTGCAAGGCGTAGCTGACGCCACCATTGCCACAGTACATCTGTGCTCTGTGGAAAAGCATGTCATGATTTCGAAGAAGGTTAGCATGACTAGTCACACTGCACATTTTGTTCAATTACTCAGGCATGTCACATAATTGTATGTTTTAGTATGATCACTGACACCTAAAATGTTAATGGCAATCATTTGGAGCAACATGTGACATTTCTGCCACCCTAAAAAAAAGTGTGCTGGTGTTTTTTTTTTTTTTTTTTGCCATACCTACTACGAACTTTGTTTTACCATTTATGTTTGCAGTCTGTCAAAGGATTTGACAGGCATGGCAAATGCTAATGTGGACTTTATCATTGTTTGCTCAGTGGGCGATTCAAAATACTACTTTTATTGAAATAGCAGTGCTCATGTTCCCTCTACACGATTTAGTTGATGTTGGATGGTTTGCACATATATACACTTTTTTAATGGAGCCTTCTTTTTTATACTGCTCCAGACTTGGGTCTTTCATCATAAAAAAATGGATGTTTATTTTTCTTCGTAACATGCTCTAAATTTGTATTTTAGTGCTCCAAATGTAACATTTTGGTGCTTCAAAAATTGCTACGTATTCTGTTGCGGCTGTTGGACTCCTCCAGTAGTATTCAAGTATGTTTTAAGCAGCCCAGTCTATCCACTAAACTAAAGTGGTAGAAATCTGACTGAATTGATCGCTATAGCATCTTCTGTCATTCTCTGTCTGTATTGTTCAGCCTGGCATGACAGTGTGCACATCACATGTGTTTCAGGAGCAGCCAGACGGCATGCAGTACATAATTGATGTCTTGCTTGACCAAAATGAGCAACTTGTGTGCTCTCTAGTGGAGCTAGAGAGAGAAGCCCTCAAAAGAACCGCACAGATGCAGAAACGGCTTCAGTCAACTGCGATTACCACACGGGTAATGTAATAATAGTAAAAGCTTTTTCATTTATTTGCATTTACCTATGCACCCAGATGGCTAACTGATGATTCACTGCTTCCTGTTGCAGTTGCTGTTGATACTTACTAAGTCATTCTAGAATTGACAGTATGTTGAAGTCTACACAGTAGGCAGACTCAAAAGAATGAAAATCGATATTTTTTAATTGTTCATGTGCAATTTTACATAGTGGTATTTTCTTAATAACCAGCTCTGATAGGTGTGAGATTTGAAAATCATAATTTTTTTGAAATTCTTTGTGTGCAATTTGACATATGGGGTATTTTTTGAATAACCAGTTTTGTAGGTGTGAGATGTTCTTGCCAAAAAGGAACCTTTTACAGAACCTATGTATGTTTCTTTCATGCACAATCTTTTATATTTCTCCAGTCTACAGCTATGGGCAGCTAAAGGTGTTCTGGCAAAATTCTTTCAAGCTTTGGAATCTCAGCGGATTAGTCGATGTTTGTATTATAACATCAAGGAAATTTTTGTACTGCAAAATCGTGCCTTAAACATAACCTCTATTACCAAGCTGCGTGGATAGCATGAGCAATTGGTAGATGTGAAATTGTGATGCAGTGATTTGTCTCCAGTAAAGGCTTACAGTAAATCGGTAACCTAGCAGCCGGTTCTTGGCTGCTGACCCAAAGCTTGGGGGTTCGATTCTGACCACGATGGTAACATTTTCATGGAGGCGAAATGCTAGAGGCCCGTGTACTGTGCAATGAAAGGGCATGTTAAAGAACACAAGTTAGTTAAAATTTCCAGAGCCCTCCACTTAAGCATTCCTCATAATCATATGGTGTTGGGACGTTAGAACATATATTTTATTAATATGCAATAGAAGTGTGTGCCAGTTGCATCGCTGTACTTAATCTTGTATGTCTGTTAAGTATGTTTCTTTCAATGCATCACTTTAAAAAAGTCATATAAGTATTTTTAAGAATTTCTCTTGTTGTTACTCATGAATTAACAATGTATAGTGAACTCCTTTTAACACGAACCCTGTTAAAATGAATAACATGGGAGTGTTTGTTTGGTTTCTTATAGACTCAATAAAAAAAATGCCCCCACCTCCACGAAGGGAATAGTGAGGAAATGCAAATGCATTGCATAGCATCCATAACAGCGTTTCGCATGTGAGAACCCAGCGTTAGAAGAATAATGTTTTTTTTTCTTACATCGTGCAGCCAATAGCACCATTCACTGCACGTGGCGTTTTTCTGTCACAAGAAACGTGATATGAATTTCCAGCTCTAGCAGCTCACATGCACAGTTACAAAACAATATGAAGGGAACAAAACAAACAGCGTTCTAGGCTTGGCATTGGCGTTTTCCAGTGACATCTCAAGCACACATTTCCGGATGTTCTTTAGAGGCGCCCAGCCAGTGAACAGTCGAGAGGTGCAAGCATATGTGGAAAGTGAGGCACAGGGAGGAGACAGAGAACGGTGAGAAAAGGAGCGGCGAAGCACTGCAACTCTCTCTCACACCACAGTCTTCGGTTGCTAGGGGCGAGGATAAGCTGGTGCACCAGCATTCGCAGCTGTTGCTATGGAAGAGGGAGTGAGAGTGGAGAGATTACACCTGCCAGCGTGAGGAAAATTCCGGATGCCTGGTATAGCCCGACTAAGAAATGCATTCGCATTTTAAAAAATCTGCTTAAGACCAACCGTGTAACAGACATCTTCTGCTAAGACGAACTCCTCTGCACGACAAACATTGTAGTCTTTATGGGGGCATTCAGGCGAACGAGAGAAAGCAAAATGAAAAAAAAAAGAGAGAGAGAGAGAGAGAGAGAACTTCCCGGTGCAAAAACTCAATTGCTTTCGATATGCTTTGAAAGGTCAGTGCATAAAACTGGTATCTTTCTCACCTCTATTCTGTAGATGGAGAAAAGGCCGGCTTTATCAGCAAAGAAAGTAACAAAAAGCATTCGTCCTTTAGTATTCTCCTCGCATTATGAGTTCCCCAACAGGAGTGCAGTGAAGAACAGAAGAGCTCGGCCAGAGGGTAAAATGCGAAGGCAGAAAGGCGAAAAGAAAAAGCCAAATGAAAATGAGAAGAAAGATTATCTGTGTATTAAAATCACATGAAACGGAACCACATATGTTGCATCATTACTCCCATCAGAGAAGTTAGATCCATTGTTCTTGTTGTCACACTATGTTGCCCGAGCAAATGTTGTGATCAGTTTGCATTGTTTTGCAAAGGACCGATGCGCGCCATAGCTATTCTCAGTTAAATTCAGCAAATTGGTATGCGCCATTTTCATAATGAAAGTGCACTACAAAGGATGGTCATTTTTTGCACACTAAATATAGCTGCATTGTCTTTTTTGTGTGCCCAAGGCTTGTGATTGTGAGTAGTGTAAATGGAGATCTTGAGCTGTGTGTCATTCAGGAAAAGTTACTGCAGGCTGAAAATAATAAAATATATGAACCTCAAAGAAAATCTTCTAGATTTTCATAAATTTTCTATTCTCTGAAGGAAAATTGTGCTTATCTTTTCCTTTCTATTTTTTTAATTGTCAAAATAGGGTTATGCTACTGCTTAATTGTTAAAATGTGGTAGCAATTTATTCATGAGCTTATTTATTATAAACTCGTGAAATCAAGTACCCTCTCGATTAGTCTAAATACTTTAGTTGAAAGCAAAGTTTTTATCAAGCTGAGCAAAATAAATTCCTTTTCTTGTTCCTTTTCTCCCCATTGTAAGTATACTTTATTCAGTGTTTTCAAGCAACATACTTAGGCGTACTTGGCATGTTAGCATTCGGTTTTTGGGGCCACTTCTGATAAGACAAATGCCTGATAAGACAAACAAATGATCGTGGTCCCTTGAGATTCTTCTTAAAGGGAGTCTACTGTATAGGCAACCGCACATTATATTTCTTTACACTCTGTAATCACACTGAAAAAGTTAGACAGTTTTTTTTTTTTTTTCAAAATCGATTAGTCTGCAGTAAAAAGCATATATCTTGGGGGGTCTTATTTGGTGAAAAAATTCAACCCTCAAAGCATTAAGCCTTTTTATAGTAAAGGCAACTCTATCTTGTCCTTTTTTCCACAATACAGTATATATGCCAGTAACATGTCTCACTCATCCAGAGATTTCTATTTGTCTATTTAGAGGTGCAGTTGGTAGTGGCAGTATCCCAAAAAGATCTTATTGTGGTAAGGTTTGCAGAAACGCTGCAGGAGTATGTCTTTCTTTGACATTAACAATTCCAGTGTGGAGTTAGTTAACCGCACCGATGACTGCATGATGCAAACTCCTTCAGAAATATGCAGAATTCAGAAGACTATAGGAAAAAGCACGGTCCTATAGTCTTTTTCTGCACTGTTTCTTATCGTTTCCTTTTTTTTTTTTCTTTTGCCATCCTGAAAACAATGTGCATATTACTTGAAATGCTAAAAAAGGTATAAAATTTACTAGAGGGGGTTCAGGCTTCTTTCATGGCTTCTGCAAGCCATTAACATGTGTTCTGTAATCTTTCTCACTTTTGTAGGAAACGGTGAAAAAAATGTCTGAATGGGGTGAGCAAATTAAAGACCTAATCTCAAAGAAAGAACTTGCTGAACATGCTACTCTCGTAAGTATTTATTCTGTTTGTCCCGTTTTATAACTCTCTCTCTCTCTGAATCACTAGAGGATGAAAATATACATACATTATATTTCTGCACATCCATAAACAGCTCTGTATTGTGCAAAATTCAAATAATTTGGACCGCAATTGTGTACTGCTGCCTTTTTCTCGATTTTAAGCCACCATTCATGGCCAGCTGATTTAGTGATAATACAGGTAAGGGGATGATCTTGAAAGGTACAAAGGGAAGTAGCATTGTGGGAGGCATTGTTACAAAATCAGAGTTAGGTTAATTTTTCTGTCCTGTAAAAATTTTCTCATATAACAATAATAATTATTAGTATGCAAGTTAAAATATGCTAGTGAACAATTAATTAGTATACAGACTGCTTAACTATTCATTAGTTTAACTTCACTGTCAAATATTATAAACACTTCTATAAACTCCGTGCTAAGTTTGCCAGGCCGAAATTTGCAATATCAGATGTCTCACTCAGCTTGGTTTAATTGTTGCATTGGACATTATCAGGATAAATGTGCTCTTGTGTATTTCAACATTTTAACTCTAGTGTTATCTAAGACACTCTAACTCCACGTAATGCTACGGTATTAAATATACTAGTATTTCTTACCATGGTATGCGTCTTATGTAAACACTTTTGCAATAAGCTGTCAGTGCTGATTATAATTTTAGAAGAAGAATATAATTATTGTCTATAAGAAAGAAATATGAATATATTATGTGGTACATTGTTGTTTGATATTTAATTTAAGCTGCTGCTTCATAATTGAGTTGAACATGATTGAATTGGGAGACAAAACTTTTCTGTATTATAACTTATTAATGACTCCCTGACCTCATTTTAAAACAAAAAAATGCTTCTGTTTACACACTTTGAGGTGATTATGCAAATCACCGATACCTAGCAATTATAAATTCACATGTTTCAAGTTACTTATACATTTTAACCCGCATATATTGAACTCTTAAAACATCGGGCAGTAGTATTGTATAACTTGATATAAAACTTGCACAAGTTGGCTTCGTGGCTTTGCTTCAGGATAACACACAAAAAAAGTGGTTTCACAGCAATACGAGGGCAGGGGTAGTTTTATTTATTTTTTTTTCAGCCGTTTGTTGTCGGGTTACGTGTTTTACGCAAGGGCGGGCTATATGCACGAAAATACGGTGTTTATTACAATAGCGCCTCAACACTAATTCAATCGACATAGCATCTTTACCCTGTGATCGCGCTGAACAGATGAAAGTTATTTTTCAAATGCTTAAATATTTTCACACCCGTTCACTGGAAAGTTCGAAGTAGCAGACTGAATTAGCAGCTGATGTTAAAACAAAAAAATCTGGGCAGAAATCTATCGAATCCCAAATCATTGCTATTCAGAGCCACCTTGAGGAACTTGAGGAAAATCATAAAAAGCTAGAAGTAAGCCAGGAAGTTGCCAGTGTCCATACTCAAGATAGATTAACTTTCCACCCATGTATCCTCAATACAAACACGCGTACAGGATCACGATAACAGACTACGACGCAACAACCTAATTTTCTATGGTATTCCGGATACAGAGGAAACATGGCAAATGACAGAGGGAAAAGTCCTTTCCACTCTCAACGAAGTGGCAGATGAAGCACCGCATCCTCGCTACTGTCAGCAAAAAAAAAAAAAAAAACTGTCTTGTAATTAACAAAAATGTGCGCCTGCAGAAAAGTTGTGCTTCACTGCAACATGGCAGTGACACGCGGGCAGCAGCTCAAATGCTTCTCGCAACGTCAGTGCATCACGATTTATTAATTCTTTTTCGGAATATAAAAAATTAATAAAGGACAGTGTGATGAAATTCGCGATGTATGCGAACATCCAATTGGTGGTCGCTCCAGCTATTTTCAAAAACACTTGCACGACTGGCGGAGATCTTGCCTGCAATGCCTACATCAAAAACTCAGTTATAAAACTCTAATGATTATGTTACCCAGCCAAAGCACGTTGTGAAGTCCATCGCACTGGCCATTATTGAATTCTTTATTTTTTCTAGAAATATTGACCGAATAGCCGCGTCATGACGCACCGGTGCTGCGAAGAGCAAGCGATATGCTGCCTGCTTGTCACCACTGTGTTGCAGTGAAGCATATTTTCTTTTCCGAAGGTGCACATTTTAGCTGACCACAAGACGTTTCTTTTCTTCACTGTTTTTTTTTTTTTCATAACCTGCAGTGAGGCCCGCCATTCCCATGTATGATTGAGACCAGGTATTGCGGGAAAATATAATTCTTAGAGCTGCAAACTTAATCAGCACAGTCAATAACCACCTTTGATTACTTTAAGTAATTCAAAGTTTTTAGCATCCGACTTTCTGTATGTTTTATTAATTTGTAAAGCCACTAGAAGTTTTGCATTATCCCTGTGACTCTTCAATAATAAGGTTTTATTGTATTAAGCTTTCTTTGTTATAGTATTGTTCACGGAGAATTGCTGACTCGAGAAAGACCAATTTAATGGAAAATTTTATTTGGCTTCTTACTGGTGCCGATTATGTTAATAATCGTTGTCCTTAAGCTATCAAAGGTAACTAATATAGTATGTACAAGTTTGTTTTTACACATTTTCTGTCGTTTCATTCCTGATAAAAACTGAATGATGAAGAAGAGTACAATTCAAGACTAACAACCAGTTGATTTAGTATGTATCAGGATTTCAAAGAGTTAAAGTGTAAATTACACCTTTCTCTGCTTGTTTAGTTGTATTTTCTCAACACACCAACTTTCACATGTGCTGTGTGGTATTTTGGCTGTAATTGGCTGGCTTTGGCACTCGACTGAAGGTAAGGTGGCCATGAAACTAAACAGAACAAAGAATTGACAGTGTGGTTGGTATCATACAGCATAGGTAGGGCTCAAACACACAGTAGCAGTGCAGTTCGATGAGATTTGCCTTCTGTAATAACCTGCAATGATTTGCTGATCAAAGTGGGTTTTGAGTGGGATGTGTGATCTTATAGTAACAAAAGTAAACAGCAAGATTTGCTTCATCTGATGAAGTTTTCTGTGTATGTGAAGGAGTACAAGTACGAGGCGGCTGACTTGAAAAGAGAGAATGAACAGCTCAGGAACTACAACGACAACCTATACAGTGATATACAGTCGCTGTTGAGCATCATCGATGTTGCTCGCAAGACTGGGAACTGGGAGGTGAGAATTTTCATTGATATGTGGGGTTTAACGTCCCAAAACCACCATATGATTATGAGAGACGCTGTAGTGGAGAGCTCTGGAAATTTCGACCACCTGGGGTTCTTTAACGTGCACCCAAATCTGAGCACACGGGCCTACAACATTTTGCCTCCATCAGAAATGCACTACCTGCGGGTCAGCAGCCGAGTACCTTAGCCACTAGACCACCGCGGCGGGCCACCATATGATTATGAGAGACGCCGTAGTAGAGGGCTCCGGAAATTTCGACCACCTGGGGTTTTTTAACGTGCTCCCAAGTCTGAGCACAAGAGCCTACAGGATTTTCGCCTTAATCGAAAATGCAGCCGCCGCAGCCGGGATTCAATCCCATGACCTGGGGCAAGCAGCCGAGTACCTTAGCCACTAGATCATCGCGGCGGGGCGAGGTGAAAATTTTGAGAATTAAAAACTAATTTCCCATTTAACCCAGAGAGAACAGCTTTTGGCTAACACTGCTTAGTAATGTTCCCATCACTGTTATAACAGCACCTTGTTAAAAAGCAATAAAAACAAAAATTTGTATTTGAAGCTGTGACTTCTTTTCAAATTGCTGCTATTTTTACCATTTGACTTAGTGCACTAAAATATTACAATTGTTGAGGGAAGTAGAATCGCATCAGTACAAGGATAAAGAAAAGGCAGCAGATTCATTTATCCAATGTAGAAAACTCGAGCCAGGGTTTGTGTGACATATGATCAAGTTGCTGTGAAAGGGAATTTCACACACACACGCATACACACATGCATGCACACACACACATATATACATATATATATGGTTCATTCCATATCAAGTTTACCCCGTCAATTTTCGACCACTTCCGATCATGCTGGAAAAAAAAAAAATCAGGGAGGTACAGTACGGTCCACTGTTAGAGGGAACACGCAAATGTGTAGCCAGCGGTCCACGGAGTGCTAACTGCTGGCAAGATTTCGAAATGTGGGGTACGCACATTGGCTCATCGAAGTGGTTGTCTGCGTTGTCTGCCCTGCGTTGTCTGCTACTTCTCTGCCCATGCACTCGGCGTGCGCTAGCGAGCCATGACCCTTCGCACTTTTCGTTTTCACACTGTAAATCAGCTGATACCATATTGGCCTTAATAAGCCAATATTTCATGGTTACAACAGTGAGGTTAGAGTTCTCGCTGTATAATACTTATTTGTTATCAAAAGTGGCCAGTTGCAGCGAGCATTATGTGAAAATCATGACTGGCTTAACGGTTAGAGCTTGCGAAGAACTGCAGCAATGACTTAAAAGAACTATGCATTATTTGTGCTAGCTTGAAATCTGACAAGCAGCAGGCAGACATACAGCTAGATAAGTTGCACTACAAAAACATGGAAGTGCTTTTCAACACTTTTGTGCGCACAGGCAGAGAAGTAGCAGACAGAACTGGGTCTCACCACCATTGCGATTCAATGTGCATGCGTCATATTTACATATCTCGCCATCGGTTAGTGCCGCGCGGCCGGCCGGCCGCGAGCTCGTGTGTTTCCTCTAACAGTGGATCATACTGCACATGTGAATGTGAGAAGTAATTATTGAGCCAGGTTATATTTCGCAAAAAGATTCTGTGTTGCCAAGAAGGAACTTAAAACTTTGGGCACCCAAATAAAACTGTGTCAGGCCAAATGATTTAATGTAATATTACTGGTATGAGTAATTAACACGAAACAATTTTTTTCATTAATCCCAAGTTGCTACTTTTTTATGACTATGATAGTTTATTCATTTGCATTTTAATTTTTTTTTGCTTAGGCGAAAAATTCCCATCTGCTGCACGTTTACCTTTTTTTTATAAAAAGCACAACTTTTTTCACCAGTAATACTTTTACAATTGTCACTTTATATGCTCCTATATTAAAAGACTAAAATACTTTATTAGCAAAGGAAGTAAAAATATTGCCAAAATGTGGGGCAAAGTTGGGAAAAACAGCATTTTGACTCTCCTGGTTGCTCAATTTTTGCAATGTAGCGGTCAAAGTATAACTTTTCTAATGTTGCACAGTATAATATGTCAGTAAGATAAGCAGAAAGTTTGAAAAAAGTCGATTTTGTTTTAAGGAAGAAAAAAAATTTACCAACTAAACAGCCACAAGACAGTACGAAGCCTGCTTTTTCTTCACGACCACCCACTGCTGAAGAAGACACAGATGAAGGGGTGACACGGCGTGGCATCATATCGTGACAACATATCGTTGTCACGATATGTTGTGGCATCATATTGTGATGAAGGGGTGACACGCCGTGGCATCACGGCCTGACCTCACGCAGGGCATTCACATGTTCCACTCGCATATGTGGCTCGGCGCAATCCAAGTGGTTGCTCCAGGATTTCGGCGGCTGCTCCGGATCTACCAGTGGAATTCGCCATCAGACAAACAAAGATCAGAACGCTGCATCTGGCCACGTTCCCTCAAGGACCTCGATAGACGTCAAGCTTGGTATTGGCGTCGCCTGCAGACAAATACATTCTCAAATCTGCATAAGCTTCACATCATGTACCCAGAGAGATATCGCATCGCATGCCTGTGGTGCGTAGATACTCCTAAACTAACACATACAACCTACAGCTGTCTAGAGCAACCTGTCACGGTGAACATAGGACATATGCACCTCATACAAGCATAGTCGTGGAAGGCGTAACTCACTGAACGGACCCTGGGAAACCAGCTGGTGACGCTGGGTCAGGCCCGCCAAGCCGTTATAGCCAGTGGAGCCTTAGAAGAAGGGCCCCCCTGCCTGCTATGAACCACTTTTTTTTTTAATAAATGTTGTCTCTCTCTCTCTTCACCTTCACTGCATGCGGTGTCAGCACAAGGTTTCAGCGGAGGATTTTCTGCAGCGAATAATGCATGTCACACAACTCCTTGTAACTTGTTTTAGTAATCCTGCTGTATTGAACGTCTAAAAGGGGCAGTAGTGCTTTCTTTACGAAACAGCATCTTCCCCCTATGACCATCAAAGGGCAGGTTATATTGAACCGCTTCTTAGTCCCAAGTGGCAGAATTATAATGCAGTCAATGGCCTGCAATACAGTATTGAGATATTGTGTTTGGCTTTTGATAACTAATACACTTGATCTTAATAAAAATTAATGACGTAATAGAAGTATTTTTCATCTAAGCTGTCTTTATGATGTTTCAGGTATTGACCAATGTGAAATTGCTTACCACTGGTGTGCATGATGGAATGATGTATTCTTGGTGTACATGTTGGAGAGAATTCGATATCGTGGCCATGAATGGCACTTAATTGGCCATTCCCAGTTGTCATTATAACATTTAATTTGTCTTTTTTAATGGTCCTAGGGCATTCAAAATATTGAAAGCATGTCACCATTAGAGGACGGGCTTTAAGTAAAAACATTTTCAGCACCCTTGCACCATTAGAAAAGAGAGTGATGAAAATGTTCAGAACCCTCTGGAAATGGTGGCTGAAGTGTAATTTATGGGCGCAACATTGAATGATCTCTAACATAATTTGGGTTTATCATTTCATCATGCACACCAATGGTAACCGCTCACGCATTGACCTCTACCTAAAAGATCTTGTAACAGCTTAGATTAAATGTACTTTAATAATATTTTTCATTAGCATTAACACCATGTGTATTAATTATCAGAAGCCAAACACAACGCCTCAATACTGTATTGCAGGCCACCGACTGCAGATCTTATAACAGCTTAGAATAAATATACCTTAATGATATTTTTCATTAGCATTAACACCATGTGTATTAATTATCAGAAGCCAAACACAACGCCTCAATATTGTATTGCAGGCCACCGACTGCATTGTAATTTTGCTGCGTGGGGCTAAGAAGCGGTTCAATATAACCTGCTCTTTGATGGTTCAAAGGGGGAGGTACTGTTTCATAAAGAAGACATGCCCATTTTATTGCGATAGCAATTACATGAACAGTCTCAGCTGGTTTTTGCCGTCGTCGCTGCTCCGGTCATTCACGTATATGTATATGTATTTATATACATACAGCAAAGAATACGCTAGCCACTTCTTTCTGCAGAGAAAACATCACCTTTCCAGCCGGGGTCGTCTGCGTGCACGCTTATCTCGTGAGCTAACAAGGGGGGGGGGGGGGGGTGCTTATGGTTGCAGTGCTAAAACGGAAACGATCAGCACGTGACTTCTGCCCCAACAGCTGGTGGGAGCTTCTATGGGCTGCACTCTCAACACGAAAAAATGGTGCCAAAAGTGTTCTTGGAGTGGCCGTGTTCTCTTACACCAGCGTTTTGTAGTCACATGAGATCGGATCTAAATGCATTGACTGCCAGCTTCACTTCGTATAACATTGTAATTTGTCGCTATGGCTGCGTCGAAGGAAACTTGGTTAGTTAGCAAGTGCATGTTTACTACAATTAATATTGCTCCTAAAAATGCTAGCCTTGCTCCATAAACCATTCAAATATGCTGCTATCGCATTCATTGCTTCGCCCTTTTAGCCAATCTGTGACTTTTTTTTTTATGTTCAGTGCAACAGTATTACTAAACCAAGTGACAAGGAGTTGTGTGACATGCGTTATTCGCTGCTGAAAAACCCCCACTGGTACCTCACACTAATGTGCTATGCAGTGAAGCGGAAGCAAAGGCAGGCTTCGTACTACCTTGTGGTTGTTCAGTTGCACAATCTTTTTTTCTCCCTTAAAACAAAAGCTACCTTTTTGAAACTTTGGGTTTATCGTACTGACAAACTGTACTATGCAACAATATAAAAGCCATATTTTTACTTTGACCACTACATTGCCAAAATTGAGCCACCAAGTGAGTGAAAATGCTGTTTTTGCCAACTTTGCCACAATACATTGGCAATATCTTTGCTTCATTTGCTCCCAAAATATTTTAATTATTTCATATAAGAGCATATAAAGCAAAAATTTTAAGAATATTATTGGCGGAAAAAGTTGTGTTTAAAAAAAAACAATAAACTTGCAACATATTGCAATTTTTTGCCAAAGCAAAAAAGAAAGAAAATGAAAACACAAATGAATGAGCTATCATAGCAGTGAAAGAGGAGAGCTTTGAGATTAATGGAAACATTGTTTCATAATAATTGCTCAAACCAGTAATAATATATAAATTATTTGGCGGGAAACAGTTTCACTTGGGGGCCTAAAGTTTGAAGCGCCCGTTAAGCAACACTAATTTTTTTGCCAAATATAACGCCTCAATAACAACTTTTCACATTCATGTATACCTGCACAATTTTTTTCAGCATGGTCGAAGATGATCGAAAATTTACCGGGTATATTTAATATGGAATGACCTGTGTGTGTGTGTGTGTGTGTGCGTGTGCGTGTGCGTGTGCGTGCGTGAAATTTTCTTGTGCCATATCTGCGGGTTGTTACAGTAGTAAAGCACTAGTGAGTTGTCTCTTCTACGGCTTTTTTTTTTTATGATACAGATTTTTAATGAAGTCCTATCACAGTTACATTTTGCATATGAGCTCTGTGTCGAGACAGAAATAGTTTGCCAGAACAAAAAGGACATTGATGAGACTAATTAAAAATTGTTCATTAAATTTGTACATGTTGACCCAAAGGCAGTAATTTACTGTATTTATTAGCTTAATTTGCGTACTTTTTTTCGCAATTTCGGGGCGAGCAGTGCAAATTACACAGAAATTTTGCGAGCGCATACAAAATATTGTTTCACAGTCTTAACGCGCGTAGTATATGCATATAAAAAAATGAATTGGAGCACAAACGAAGAGTACTTGTTAATTTTGAAATAATTAGCACATACTTTAACCAGGCAGACTGTCACGCATGGTCTAACAGGAATCACTGATCCCGAAGTCCACTTGGGAATCATTGTCGCCGCCACTGTGACCACCCTTCCGAAGCGCATACTTCTCGGTTCCGTCGTACGCGTTTGAATGCCCTATTTTCTTGAAGCTCTTTTGACAATGCTGGGAGAAACTAGGTCCCACGATACAGTGATACTGGAAGAACTAAGCATTTGCACATATTAGAAAAGGCCTCCTTTAATAGCAGAAAACTTGCATAAGCAAGCGCGCTCTTTTGCTTTATCGTGTACCAATCACGCCGGTCGTTACATTGAAGTACGTCCCCTTGAAGTGCTTTGCGGCAGCATGCTTCCCGTTTTCTTCGGCAAAATTTACGACAGCAAGCTTCAATTTTGCCATATATATAATTATTGTAGCACATCACAGGGGAACCGTCAGAGCTCGTTGGTGTGTGGAGGGCGAAACCTAAGCTTCTGAAATTGACCAAGCGTGCATTACAGCGCAGACGCAGAGAATGAGGGGAACAGTTGGCAGGACGGGCCTTCGCCTGCTTCCGATGCAGAAAGTCACTCGTGCCATGATGCAAGCCTGAATTCTCGCAGTTATCGCGGTGGTAGAAATTGGGAGATAGGGGTAAGCAAACGCTCTAGCAGTTCCGGCGACCTGTCAACAAGTTTTGTTTAGGTGCGGTATTCTAAGGACCCTAGTTCGGGCGAAGTCCTTGGAAGAAAGGACTTCGCACTTGCAATCTGTTTGACTGCACTTGTCTGCTCGGCGAGGCACGCAACTGGCCAAAGCATCGAAAGTTCCAAAGGCTCGCAGGCCAGCTCAGGCAGGTCAGGAGCACGAAATATGCGAGTAAATACTTTTTTTTCAGTAAGGCTGGCAAAACATCAGGGGTGTGCAAATTATGTGCGTAAATACGATATATTACTAAGTTATTTCAATGTGTAATTCAAGATATTCATTTGGAGACTTTATTTTGAAGGGTGGAGTTGTGTACTATTTCTGATGGTAAATTTTTACACCCTTTCAAAAATCTGTCAATCAAAGTGATAACCTTGCCTGGCTGTGGTAAAAAAAGAGCTAGGCCACATACACTTAGCGTTGTTATAGCAGTACCAACACGAAAATTTTTACTTGTGTTTTCACGTCAGCTCAATGGCCAAGCTTTCAAGGGCCTTGAAAATGTCCTGCCAAGTGTGAGTGTACCTTGAAAAAGTAATTACATAAAATAAATTACTGTGCCCTTATGTTGAGCTTCCCGTCATGTGCTCATGCAAGATACCATGACGTTTCTACAGCCATTCGGCTCTGTTCATGATAAAATAACGGCCGTTATCAATGTTTTGGCAATGCACGAGAGACCATCCTGGAAGTTCTGGTTCCTAATGTCATTATAACTAGCCAGACTGCCATGTGAAGAGATGAGAAGTAGTACTGCAGCCTGACGTCAAGTTAGTGTTGTCTCAAGGTAAACTGGTGTGTTCAGATTTTAGTGTTGTCTGTTGGTGCGCCATGAGAAAATTGAATTTAATGTCAAAATAAAATATTTGTGTCAGCATTTTCTGAGCTTCACACTTGCTCAGAGTCGTCTCTGTATAGAGGAGATTTGTTTGACAGAGTAAACTTGCCATTGAAAAATGTCAGTACAGTCGAACACGGATATATTGAACTCGAAAGGGATTGCGAATTGTATATGTGAAAAATTAGATGTAAAAAAATTAAGGCCCCGGGAGCTTACCTGTAGCGGATCATTACCTACAATAGGCGCATTCAAGAATGACAACAAATTCCTCACACATGCCGCAACAAAATGATTTATTTGTATGAAAAAATCGCTAATCTCGGCCTGCTTTTTCATTTTCGAAATGTTGAAGACGCTAGTGTCGACCTTATCAAGGCTGTCTAGGTCTGACAGCCCGGTTTCCTTCATGTGGCCTATACAACGGGGAATGATTTCGAACGCTGCCGCCACTTCAGCTGCGGAAAACGCGCGTGTAGACAGCGCCTCATTCGGACGATCTTCCTCGTCACATGAGCTGTCAGCCTGGACATCGCAGTCCACTTCCACGGAGTCGTTCGCTGACACTTCGTGTGGAACTGCTGCTGGGAAGCGGGACGACAATTCGCGAAACGCGTCGTCTATGCGCTCGTCGTCGTCTTCACCGGTTTCCGCAAGTTCTGCCGTCTCGAAGCCTGCCTTGCGAAACAGTTGACCACTGTGTCCATCTTCATGTCTCGCCAGGCATTGAAGATCTCCACAGGAGAAAACTTCGCGAAGATTTCTGGCCACTCCTTCGTCATCCACTGCTGGATGTTCTGGTTGCTGACACGTTCGCTTTCCCCAGAATTGGTTTTGCCAACGATGTTGTAGCGCTGCTTAAATCGGTGAAGCCACCCGCTGTTGTCAGCGAAGTTATTTCTTCGAGTGCAGCAGCAAACCATTTGGCCTTTGCGATCAGTATTGGGCCATCCACCAGAATGTTCTTCACGCGCACTTCTAAAAACTAGGCATAAAGCGTCTTTCATACATTCCCTTCGGTAGAAGCCCACACATGACAAGCCTCTGACGCTCGCTGCTCTGCTGCCTTTGCCTTGATATCTGCCTTGTTTTTTGACAAGGTACTCAGAGTGCTCCATGGTATCCCAAAGTCGTCCGCGACGGTCAAACATTTCTTGCCCGTGGCAACACGCTGAATAGCCTTCAACTTCGTCACAAAGTCAAGGGTCTTGCGCTTGTTGGCGCTGGCCATAGCTACACGAGAAGCCGACCATTCAAGGAGTCCACAATGGCTTTGCAAACCATGCACACAAAGGAAAAATGCTGCACATGCGGTGGTACGGAGGCGACGCGACGGTGGAAGCAAAAAGCGCTCACGAGGCGATGGCCACCTTCGAGGGCAAGAGCAAAAGGTGCGAGCTGTGGTTAGCTGATGAAAACTTGCAAAACAGCTACAAAAAAATACAAAAAAAATGCGAAAGGAGGAGGATGTTGGCTCCTTCGTTTCTGCTCTCCGAGCTGGGGGGGTACGCAAAGAAAGCATGAGAAGAGAAAAAAAGAAACGAAAAAAAAGCAGCCCTGAAAGCTAGAGATTGTGCCGTGGATTGTGCAGTCTGAGCCCTCTCGCCCATACCTTTTTTCAAGCGTTTTGGGTTTTGGCAGAGGCGTGGTGCCACCCGGAGGTTGCGGGGCGCTGTGAGTGCCAAAGCGCACCTTCCAACTCTTGCGTGAAGCCGCGATGCCGCGGAGATCGCGGTGGTGGTGGGGGGGGGGGGAGAGTTGAAGCGCATCTTTCAGCTCGCGCGGCGTTCGATATATTTGAAGGCGGGTAAATATACCATTCGATATAAACGTGCGAATTTATATATTTTTACAAAGGAATTTGAAAGAGATAACTTGCGAGTTCGAAGTACCCGAAAATTCTATATATGTGGGTTCGATATAACCCTGTTCGACTGTACCCGTTTAACATGAGGTCGTCATTCCTCAGATCCAGCAGAACTGAATTCTACTAGATACTATCACAAGTTCAAAATAGTTCTGCTGTCACTGTGTTTGAGACATTAATTTAGATTCTAGTGCGAATTAGAGCTACAATGTTAGCACAATACGTTTTGTATGTGTTTCACCAGTTTGTCTTCTACATAAAAGAGAGGAAACTTTTTCATCATGATTGGGTCACCATAATATCTACTCTCGGAATATTGAAAATATAGTTGCAGATTAAAACGAGGACATAAAAGCGTTATTATTATTATTATATACACTTTTGGATATTGAAGATATAATCGCAGATTAAAACAATGACATAAAAACATTGATCATATCTTTTGTACTGAGTATTGCCATGTTTATGACTTCTGTTTCAGATGGATTGTGTAACATTTTGTGTGATCTCCCCAGAAGAAGTTTATGGGCCCATCTGTCGCCCATCTGCACAGTATGTTCTCTTTTCTTATTCATTTTGCATGTGTATTTTTTTCTTATAATTGTCACAAACGCAGTATAATTAATAATTTAAACTTGGATCCAAATGTTTGGTTAATTGAGAAAGTTTAGTCTTTGGTTGTCCTGCTACCTCTTCGGTGTATTTTAATCTGCCTAATTGATAGTGCTTCATTCTGTAAATTTATTTTTTTCTCTGTAGCTGAAAATATGTGCTGTCATAGTGGCTTCTAGCTAAACATTCGCATTTTCTGGTGTCGCTAACAGTTCCAAACGAAGTCGTTTGCCTGCTTGTTAAGTGGCCAAACTAGCGAAACTGCATGCACAGAAAATAGTTTGTATTCACTGATGTCTAAAAACTAGGCTTGTACGAATACCTGAGTGCTTTGAATATTCAAATGAATATTACAGTATTCAAATTCACTTCAAAATGAAATTCAATTGTACTAAATTTCAAAGCTTTTGAAATGAACAAATAGACTGTGGGTCTCAAACTCACATTAGCCAGCGAGCCGCATTCATGCAATTTAGTCCCGCTATTACCACATGAAAAAAAAATTCTCTGGTATCATATACAGGCCATTTCTGAACATTTGGTGCGCAAGATCTCAGCAACATATCGATTCCGATTGCCGAAATGACTAAAATCTGGACGCCGATTCTGAAATGTGGCTTTTGTTTGACACTTCATGTTTCAACACAAGGTTACCACATGAGGTGCCTCGACCAGCCATGGATGTGTAGCTCACTAACATATATAATAAAAATTTTTAGAAAGGTGGGGCAAAGGCAATAATGTGAGGACCGTGGGCTGCTAGCGAGAGGTTCGCAGGCCACATCTTTGAGGCCCCTTGAATGGACATACCGTATAATGCCGAGCTAATGCCCCCCTTACGGTTAAGGATAATCCGACCGAATTTAGGAGAAAGTTGCTTGCTCGGTCCTGGACTGGTCATTGGTGCTTATTTCAGACCTCCCGAAAAAGGTGGAAGGGTGCTTGCTAGTTTGGGGACGCTTATTTGGCATTTTACGGTATATATATATATATATATATATATATATATATATATATATATATATATATATATATATATAGTGTAGTGGCGATGGCGTTGTGGTTAGAGCATCCGCCTCGCATGCAAGAGGTCCGTGGTTCAAATCCCCGTGCCGCGAAGTTCCCAACCGAATAAAAAAAAAAGAGAGAAACCGTGTGGCGATGGAACTGCATTAAGAGGCCTGGGGTGCGGCCTCACTAGTGACCACCGCTGCTAACGCACTCCCTCACCAGAGAAGGATTGGCCACCCTGGTGCAGTATATGGCCACTACCTCCCACAGTAGAGCGGCGATGGCGTAGTGGTTAGAGCATCCGCCTCGCATGCAAAAGGTCCGTAGTTCGAATCACGGTGCCGCGCAGTTCCCAACCGGATAAAAAAAAAAAATCCGCGTGGTGATGGAACTGCCCAACCGGATTAAAAAAAAAAAATCCGCGTGGTGATGGAACTGCCCAACCGGATAAAAAAAAAAATCCGCGTGGTGATGGAACTGCACTAAGAGTCCTGGGGTGCGGCCTCACCGGTAACCACCGCCGGTAACACACTCCCTCACCAGAGAAGGATTGGCCACCCTGGTGCAGTATTTGGCCACTACCTCCCACATGCATACGTCAATTAACTCACGGCCCTCAGTCTCCAGCAGCTGCGAAGCAACTGACCACGGCGGCAGTCAGATCTGCAACTCAGCAGAGGGTGCTAAGAATCTCTGGATCCGGACAGGCCGCCATTGGAACCTGAACTTGGCAACGTTTAACGCTAGAACCTTATCTAGTGAGGGAAGTCTAGCTGTACTATTCGAGGAGCTAGAGGGTGTTAAATGGGATATAATAGGGCTCAGTGAGGTTAGGACAGATGAGGCCTATACATTGCTACAGAATGGGCAAGTCCTTTGCTATCGGGGCTTGGCTGAAAGAAGAGAACTGGGAGTAGAGTTCCTAATTCACAGAAACATAGCTGGCAACATAGGGGAATACTATAGCATTAATGAAAGGGTGGTAGGTATCGTAATTAAACTCAATAAGAGATACAAGATGAAGGTGGTACAGGCTTACGTGCCTACATCCAGCCATGATGACGCTTTAGTTGAAAGCTTCTATGAAGACGTGGAATTGGCAATGAGTAAGGTAAAAACACAGTATACCATACTGATGGAAGACATTAATGCAAAGGTAGGGAAGAAGCAGGCTGCAGACGAGGCAGTAGGAGATTATGGCATCGGTACTAGAAACGCCAGAGGAGAGCTACTAGTAGAATTCGCAGGATGCAATAATTTACGGATTTTAAATACCTTCTACCAAAAAAGAGGAAACCGTAAAGGGACATGGAGGATCCCTAATGGCGAAAATAAGAACGAAATAGACTTTGTAATGATTGCACACCCATGCATCGTGCAGGATGTGGAAGTGGTTGGCAAGGTACGATGCAGTGACCATAGAATGGTACGGTCTCGAATTCGCCTAGACTTGAAGAAGGAACGACAAAAACTAATACGCAAGAAGTCAATCAATGAGCTAGCACTGAGAGGGAAAGTACAGGAATTCAGAGTGTCGCTTCAGAACAGGTAGTCGGCTCTTAGTGAGGAAACCAACCTTAGCGTAGGTACAATGAATGATAATCTGACGAGTATCATTACGGAGTGTGCAGTGGAAGTTGGAGGCAGGGTAGTTTGACAGGACACTGGCAAGCTTTCCCAGAAAACGAAGAATCTCAAGAGGAAGCGTCAAATGATGAAAGTCACAAGTACAACAGACAAAATAGAACTGGCAGAGCTTTCGAAGTTGATTAATTGGCGTAAGGTATCCGACGTAAGAAGGTATAACATGGAGAGAATTGAACACGCTCTGAAAAACGAAGGAAGCGTCAAAGCAGTGAAGAGGAAACTTGGGATAGGCAAAAATCGGATGTATGCACTAAGGGACAAAGAAGGGAAAATAACTACCAATATGGATAGGACAGTTAAAATAGCGCAGGAGTTTTACAGAGATCTGTACAGTAGCCGGGACAACTACGACCTTAATACTATAGGTAGATGTAGCCTTAAGAGACAAGAAGAGAGCAGAGTGGATTAGGGAACAAACTGGGGTTAAGGATATCATAGTTGAAATCAAGAAGGGGAAATGGACATTGGCCAGGCATGTAGCGCGTAGACAGGATGACCGCTGGTCATTAAAAGGTAACTAACTGGATTCCCAGAGCGTCTCTCATAATCATATGGTGGTTTTGGGACGTTAAACCCCACATATCAATCATCATGGATTCCCAGAGAAGGTAAGTGGGTTAGGGGGAGACAGAAGGTTAGGTGGGCAGATGAGATTAAGAAATTTGCGGGTATAAATTTGCAGCAGCAAGCACAGGACCGACTTAACTGGCGGAACATGGGAGAGGCCTTTGTCCTGCAGTTGGCGTAGTTAGGCTGATGATGATAATGATATATAAACTGCATGTAACTTCTGTAAAGGCAGTTTCACTGCAACAAAGGGTGCTATACCATGAGCACACTTTACCAGGGGAAACTTGCGCTGCGGAGAAGCACGAGTTCAAGGTTATATCGACATATTACCCTCACATCCATTTGTCATATTATAAGTTTAAAAGCTGGTTATACCTGCTTGTGTAGCTTAGGTATGGTCAATTTTGAAATGTAGCATATTTTACAGGTTATCACTTTCATTGTACTGAAAGTCAAATCTTGTTACTGTTCAAAGTTGCTTCCACTTCTCTTTAAATAAAAAAGAATGCCTTGTTTCATTTAAAAAATATATGTATTGCGCAGGTGTATTGGATCAAGACAAATATGCTCATTTTCTTTCTAATATGTGATATATATATATATTCAAATTCGATTCCAAATTCTTTGAACCAAATCACTATTCACTTCGAACCTAAAATTTACTATTCACACATCATCATCATCATCATCATCATCAGCCTCACTACGCCCACTGCAGGGCAAATGCCTGTCCTACGAACCACTGATCAACCTGGTTTTGTGCTTTTCATTGCCACATTATACCTGTGAACTTTTTAGTCTCATTGGCCCACCTAACTTTCTGTCGCCCCTTCGTGCCTTTGTCTTCTCTGAGAATCCAGTCAGTTACCCTTAATGACCACCGCTTTGCCTACATGCTACACCCGGCCCATATCCATTTCTTCTTCTTGATTTCAACTATGATATCATTAACCTCGGTTTGTTCCCTGACCCACTCTGCTTTCTTGTCTTTTAAGGTTTACCTATCATTTTCCTCTCCTTCACTCGCTGCGTCATCCTCAATTTAAGCTGAACCCTCTTTGTTAGCCTCCATGTTTCTGCTCAGTAGGCAAGTACTGGCAAGACGCAGCTGTTATATACCTTCTTCTGGAGAGTTAGTGGCAGATTACTACAGTAGACTCTAAGTAAATGGAACCTGAAGAGACTGGAAAAATATGTTACATATAGCAGGAGTTCCGTTTACTGAGAGGTGAACATGGGTGCAGAATACAAGCCCGAAACCAAGCATTGCAGGGGCAATAGTTCCATTTAAGCAGTAGTTTGGTATAACAGATTTCCATTTACTGAGAGTCTACTGTATTCATGATTTGAGAATGCTTGCCGAATGTGATCCACCCCATCCTTATTCTTCTAGTTCTTTCACTCTCATGGTTCAGTGCCGCGGTTACTACCTGTCCTAAGTATACATATTCTTTTACAACTTCCAGCGTCTCTCCACTTATCGCAAAGTGCCGTTTTCTGCCGAGACTGTTGCACATTACTTTAGTTTTGTGCATATTAATATTCAGACCTACTTTTCTGCTTTCCGTGTCCAGCTCAGTAATCATGAGCTGTAATTCGTCTCCTGAGTTACTCAACAAGGCAATGTCATCAGCGAATTGTAGGTTACTGAGATACTCTCCATTAACTCTTATGTCTAGCTCTTCCCAATCTGTGGTCCTGAAAACCTCCTG